CACTCAGGAATGCTGCAACAAACACAAGTCAGCCACTGAAAAGATTACAAAGTCAGACATGGTTTAGATCAGAGCAGTCTGGTGGTCTAAAGGATTAAGACCATGCAATCCAAGATTTCCAGCAGCATTTTCTCAGGGAGACACGACACCTTGCCTAAAATGAACAGCACCTCTACTTCCATCAAAATAAACTGTCCAGTTATTTGAGAATAAAACACATAAGGTTCAGTGGAGCTACTTCACACATCAGCTGCGAGTCAACTGTTTAAACCGTCACTGAGTTACTACATCCGCTGCAACCTTTTTGTGCAACATCATGTTACGTATCAGCAAAGACTGAGAAACCTGGTAAAAATGGTATAACACAGAAGACAGGCTACCGCATCTTGATCACCTTACAGTACAAGGTTCTTGAGGGAAACACTGTAATAACAACCTTTCCTGTCCCAAGTCTGGACAGAGTCCTTGTCTAGCACTCTCTCTTCTTCTAAATGAATAGATCATGCAAACATCTAACTGGCATGAAAAGAATAAAAACTTTAACTGCAGATGGCCTGTTGCACCTGTTGCTCGTACATTCAAATGCACGTTAAGTGCTCACTACGTGAAGATATTTTCTGGGGTAATCCTGCCTCTCTCACCCAAACAGATATTGCAATGGACTACAGTTTAAAATGATCCTTTTGTCACAGCCCAGAATCCTGTTTCAAAAAGAAATGCAACACTTGATGGAAGCACATGGCCCATTTTATGATGTCTTTAAGCCCTAGAGCTTCAAAACCTTCACAGTCCTTTAAAACTGTATGTTATGGAGTAGGTGAAAGTTCCTGCCAGAGGAGTATGTTACCGTTTTAGACAAAATGATTTTATTTACGTCAAAAATCACCTTCAGTGTCAGTCCTACAATCAGAAGAATGTAGTATGTAGACTCTCAGTTACATTTGTGTCTTGGTTCTATCTGGCAACTTCCACTTGGACCCAATCAAATCATACACAAAGCATGAGCTCTGTGCACTGTTAAACCCATACTGTGTCCATGTGGACAAGGGCTGAATGATTTACTCACTGGTCTTCCCCTTCGCACTCTGCCTTTTGCCATCCACATCTGGGTAGACGGGAACAACAGTCACATTGTAGGGTGTGTCAGGATGCAGGTTCCTCAGGATGGTGCTGGTGCTGCCGCCTGAAACCTCCTCCTGTTTGACAAAATGTTAAGTCTCTGTCAGCAAGTTAACAATTTGACCTGATTATGGTGAGAATGACTGAGGCCACAGTGAATCAGTAAAATAAATAAAATGCTGTTGGTGGATGTAAACCCTTCACATCATCCTGAAACAGTAAAACAGTGCTGGTCTCTACCATGTGTTCTTCCCCTGATGGCTCAGCAGCGTAGTAGACCTTGTAGCTTTGGACATTGCCCACTGCTGGGTCCCAGCGGGCCGTCAGAGTGCTGATGGTTGGGTCGATCACCTGCAAGTTCTTCACTCCACCCATAGGATCTGAGGAGGAGCAGCAGGACTCAATAAGTGTTCATAAGATGTTGTGATCAACTGAGAACCTGATTTAAAGAAAGGTTCACAGAAACATTTTGAAGCTCTGTTTGTTTTCTCTCTCTTTATTTTTAGGGAGTACCAAAAATCATAAGTCAAACCCAGGCAATCCAACTCTGACTGGGAGGATGATGATGGAGGGCTGGATGAAATGTGCTGACCCACTGAGATAGACCAGTGACGCAGGCTGTGGTGCTCAAACCATAATTCATTTTAAGACGTGACACATAGTTGGTTACTGCAGCTAACTGCGATACGGCTGTAGTATGAATGGTGGTGAACAGTTTTCAGAGTCACATTTGAAATGTGTAGTATATTTTCAATGCTGGTAGCTAAGAAAACATATGCTCATTTACCTCTAGACTGGTCTGTGACCAATGATTAGAAAAAATGTTAGTAAGGACTTTTTTGCTACTATATGATTTAGACAAATGACTGGAGTTTAGACTAAACTGCTGGCTAATGCATATTTAACAGGACTATGAGTCAGGTGCTATATCACTAACATTTTGTCACATGGAAACATTTATTTGTTGTATAATGTGTTTTGAGCATTATTAAATGCATCTGTATGAATTACTGCATTTCAACTTTTCATCTGTTTACTCTATTTTAACTGTGCTACAATATTTTATGGTGCCCTGCTCTTTGCATTTATATCAGGTCTTGGTCAGATAAAGAAAAACACGTCCATTGTTGTTCTCAAAGCTCAGGCCTCATCTTAACTTACATGTCTTTCCCTTTTCAGACTGAGGTTTTCCCTCTATCTCGTGGTAGACAGGCACCACGGTGACAGTGTACTCCGTGTTCGGCTCCAAGTTCTTCAAGACAGTGGAAGTGGTGGATCTAGAAACCTGGTCCTGGACCAGAAGAAAAGACACTGTGAAGTAGGAGAACTCTAGAATTTGGAGACATGTTAGAAAAGCCATATCCAAGACAAGAAGGGCTTAGCAGATACAAGGAAAACTCTCAGACTGAACACCACCACAGACTAATGTGACGTGAGCCGAGTGTTCTTCAGGCAGTAACTGTGTTATGGTTAGTATCCCTCACCAGGAGGGTGAGGGAGAACTGAGGTAGGACTCAAGTGTCAACTGTCTTTGTGCAGCTCAGGAACAGTACAAGCTCTGAGATAAAGGTGGATTTTAGCAGAAAGCTTCCACTTCACCAGCGAGGATAGTGCACCTTCCTTTGCTACAAATAAAATTTGTTCTTTGTCCATAAGATCAAATATTAAATCCTTAACTCTGACTATCAGTTGAGATCATTTCAGTTGTTTCCAACTCAAATCGTCTTATTTCACAACATTTCTTGAACTAAGTGACATGATCACCTCGTTTGCTCAGGTGTTCCTTTCACAACTTAAAAAATGTGTGCTTCAGCTCAAACCCGCTGCTTCTCCACTTGATCCCCTTCCGGGGAAGATTTTTAAAGAAGTTACTGATATTATTGGCCCTGGGCTGGTCAACTTTGTTAACTCATGCTTGAGTTCTGGTTCGCTCCCTTTGACCCTTAAGCATGTGGTTGTTAGACCATTACTTAAAAAGCCCAGCCTTGACGCTACGGTATTAGGTATGAGTCCTATCTTACCAATAGAACCTATTCGGTTATGATTGGCGACCATTCTTCCGGCGCAGCTTCCTTGACTTCAGGTGTCCCCCAAGGCTCCATTCTGGCCCCTTTGCTATTTTCCCTGTATCTGTCACCGCTTGCCGCCATTATATCTAGTCACAATGTTCCCTTCCATTTCTATGCTGATGATATTCAAATCTATATGCCACTGGTTCAACCAGAGTCAGGTTCATTTGGTGCATTACAAAACTGTCTCCAGGATGTCAAAACCTGGCTAACTCAAAATTTCCTTTACTTAAATGAAGGCAAATCTGAATTTATTGTTATCAGCCCCCATTTGGATGCAAGACTAGTTGATCTTGGCACATATGCCCCCTCGCTTTCTAATGCGGTAAAAAATCTGGGGGTAATTTTTGATGTCGATTTTAACTTTGATAAGCAGATCAAGTCAGTGGTAAAAAGCAGCTTCTACCAGCTAAGACTGTTGGCTAAGGTAAAGCCATTTCTCTCTCTCATAGTGACTTAGAGAAAGCCATTCATGTGTTTGTGACTTCCCGGCTTGATTATTGTAATGCCCTGTACTCCGGTTTGTCCCAGTCATCACTCTCCAGGCTCCAACTTGTTCAGAACACGGCTGCCTGTCTGCTGACAAACACTCGTCGGCATGCCCATATCACCCCGGTTCTGTTGTCCCTTCATTGGCTCCCGCTTAAATGAAAAATAGATTTTAAGGTTCTGCTTTATGTTTTTAAAGCCATGCATGGCCTTGCCCCTCAGTACCTGTCGGACCTCTTGGCTAGATACGTTCCTCGCAGAACCCTACGATCATCAGGTCACCTTGCTCTTGTCGTTCCCCCTGTACACTACAAAAAATGGGGAGGTCGCGCCTTTGCCGTGCATGGCCCCAGGTTGTGGAACTCCCTGCCTTTAGACATTCGCTTGATAACTGAGCCGGCAGCGTTTAAGTCAGCGTTAAAAACACATCTTTTTAAACAAGCTTTGAATGTTTAGCGTGATCACTGAATTTTGTCAACTTTAATAATTTATTTTTTAATTACTTTTAATATGTTAGTGTGTGTCTTGGTCCTCTGGACCACCACAGTTGAACTCCCGTGGGGAGTGCCGGCCAGGCAGGAGCTGGCCTATATCAGTCCTTGGATATTTATTTGGCTTCTTGTTTGTCTATGAGTGTTTCTAACTGATGTTGTATTACTATGTTTCTACTGTTGTAGCACTTTGTGCTCTTGAGCTGAAAAGTGCGGTACAAATAAAGTTTATTATTATTATTATCATCTGGAGGCTGATGAAATGGTTGATAAATGTTAATGAAGCACTGATGTTTATTAACTTAAACATGGTGGTTTTCATACTGTGGTAGAAATACAGCGAAACAGTCAGCAGTAAGAGGAATATGGTGATTTGTTGGAAACAAGCTGCAAAATCACTGGCCTGGTCCCTGAAAGGATGAAACGCAGAGGCATCTCAAAACAACACACAGAAAAAATAAATACTGGTCAATGACCTTTGACCTCAGAGATTTTACCATTTAAATAAAAGTTAGACTGCCACTGAACAATCACTTTAACTTCACAGTAGCTAAAATTCTTGTGTGGTTTGAATTAAAACAAATGGGTTTCACATTTCAGTCAGTCATGAAAACCCAGAAACCAACGGGACGGATGAAGTTCTCAGCTTCTAGTGAAAATACAACATCTGGCCAGCAAATCTTGACTGTTACAGTTCTGCCATGTACAGCAGTTCCTCTTGGTTCTCGGTAAAGATCGACTTCTCTTATGAAAAGTGTTGATGACACAATATTGTCGTGTGAAGTCTTACCACGTTTCGATCCCCTCCAGCAGTCGGCTCCCAGATCACGATGTATTCGCGAACATTTCCCTCGGCGGGATCCCAGCGGACATTCAGGGAGCTGGTGGTGGGATCGGTAACCTGTAGGTTCTTCACAAAACCCAGCGGCTCTGAGTGGAGACACCAAACAGGAAGACAGATCAGAGCATCACACAGCTGCTGTCTCGTCAGAGGTTACTGGTGTCCAGGGGGCAGTTTGTTCACATGTCGCATGATAAGAATATAGCGGTTTATTTTACATCTATTGATTCACATTCAAATGTGTAGGGACACTGGTGCTTTGTCTATTTTGTTACATCTGGAAAGCTGCTGTCTGCTTTGGTTAGTTCTGAAGTCACTGTCGGAGCGTTATCTACAGCCGTAATCATAATCAGTGGAGATTAAAACCAAATAAACTCACTGCTTCTTCAATGAGTCACTTCTTCTCATGCTACTGCTTTTTTTATTTGGAGAATAAAAACAAGAAACAAACTAATGCTACTGAGGAGGAGTCCAACACTACAAAGAAAAGGCTATCGAACACAAAGGAAATAAATAACTAATTCACAAGAGATGGCTCTACATCAGATCCAGAAGTGAACGTGATGTACCGGTACTCTGGATAAATACAAGAAAAGGAGCAGTCGACAGTGTTTCTTTGTCGACTCTGCATCTGGACAAGAAAGACATGCGTGTGTTCTGCACATTGACTATGTTTGTCAAGTCGGAGAAGTAAGTAGGAGTCAAAATACAATTAGCCACAGTTTGAAATGACTGCTATCAGGACAGATTTCACATTTCTGTCCCCACCCCTGCTGGCTCTGTTTCTTTCTCTCTTCCTGCTTTTTTAGCTCCCGTTCAGTCAGAGAAAAAATGATCAGTTTGATGCTTTCTTAGAGGCTCAGGTGATTTCCACGGTTCATAGGAGCAACTGACAACAGCAGCAGATCACAGCCACGGTTACTCACTCGTCTTGCCGTTGTCAGTCAGGCTGGGTCCGTCTCCCTCGGCGTACACTGGGACCACGGTGACAGTGTAGTGGGTGTTCGGTAGCAGATTCTCCAGGACGGTTGTGGTGGTACTCTCTGACACTTGCTCCTACAGAGACACATGTGTTGAACTGCCCTGTACTGAGAGGTTCGATTCCTACCAGCCCCAGGAGCCCAGTTTAACTAGTTGCTGGATGTTTTCACAATAATTTGGCCCAAGAAACAACCATACATTTAGCTTATAGTCTTCTTGGAAGAAATGAGTTTATGAACTAACTTCATCTACAATCCACTGAGAATTAGACAAGATTTTAGAAAAAGCCCAAAACTAAACCAGGTGCCAAATTTAACACTAACATCAGTGAAAAGTTGTCTACAAATGTAAAACTCTTATTGTTATCTTGTTTGCTGTTTTGACTCTTAACTGAAGAAGCAACATATAAAACCACATGAACAGTTTTCATGGGGTTAACACTCGTCTCTATACTTTAACATATTAACTGGAGGTAACGATTACATCACCAACAGAGACAAATAAACTACTTCTAAATACACCGACACAAGCAGTTAAATCATCATTCAGCCACATTCAGATCTGTTATTTCACGGCTCTTCACGTTCTGAACCTCATCAAACACTGACGGTAAGAATCTGATTAGCAGGATTTACACACACTTACTCTGTACAAGCTGTACTCCAGAAACACAAACATGCCATACAACAATGAGGGATCCACCCTGCCAGCAAGGATTTAGGTCCTATTATGTGGCAACTGCCCGACAGGATTATCCTGTCAAAAAACATGACATCACTAAATCCCTGCTGAAAGCTTTGATCATTTTGCTTCTCGAGTCTGACAGCCTTCTTATTAACGTTCTGCTGCAAAACTTGAGTAACTGTCCGACCAGGAGTGTTAAAGTGCGAAACAAAGACTTTCCAGTTTACATCATCATCAAACGCTGATAGGGGCTTTCAAAGTCGCATCCTCTCTCTGCCTATAGTGTTTCAACAAGTAGAGATGTTGTTGTCACTGAGCAGTGGCCTTAACAACACAGTACAACGTGCCTGATGCCAGCTGAATATTTTGCTTAGAAAGTTACAAAGAGCCAATCGGATTTGACACAACTGAAGAAGACGCTGCTCTGAACTCAGTGTTGTTTGATACCTCCACCAGCGTCCAGTTAAAAGCACAGTAATGGTTGGAGATGTGGTGATGTATGATGGTGCAACAGTCTAAGAAAACTAGTTAAACTCTCTGTTTTACTTGTATTCTTGTCATTGTGTTCTCATGTTATTTCCTCAGTTATTTTGTTCTTCCATCACAGGGATCACAGAACTTTAATCACTCTCGTGTCAGTGTAGTTAAACTAAACCTAAATTAATCAAAGTCAACTGAAGCTGATTCGACTTGAGATTAAGTTAACTAAACCCAATTTAACAAGACTCAAGTAAACTCAACTAGACTTGACTCTAGTTAATACAACGGAGGTCAACTTAGCTCGACTCAACTCAAGTTGTCTCATCTCGCCTCTAGTTGACTTAAGTTACCTCGATTCAGCTCAGGCCATGTTAACTCGACTCGAGCCAGCTCAGTTTAACCCAGGTTAACTCGGCTCAACACAATTCCACTTAAACTCAGATCAACTCAACCCAACTCCCACTAGCTCAGCTGAACTGAGGTCAACTCATCTTGACTAAATTCAAGTTAATTTGACTCAACTCAGGTTAATTCGTCTCCACTCAACTCAAGTTGCCTTGACTCAACCAAAGTTAACTCATCGCTAATTAACTTGACTCTACATAACTTATTTTTTACATCCCATGCTTTGTGTTTGATAAAGGTTCATTAAAAATCTTCTGATCTGCTCCTGTTTGTTGTTAATTTACTGTTCAAACTTGTTGAATCACTCAGAATTAACCAGTGAGAGAGACTCAAACACTGCCTTTCTGTGAATTTATCGTGTGAGCCATAACAGAAGAAGTACCAACAATTTAGTTTTTCCCCGTTTCTGTTCTTATGGCCTACATACAGTGGTGTGAAAAAGTGTTTGCCCCCTTACTGATTTCTTATCTTTTTGCATGTTTGTCACACTGTAATGTTTCAGATCGTCAAACAAATTTATATATTAGTCAAAGATAACACAAGTAAACACATCATGCAGTTTTTAAATGAAGGTTTTTATTATTAAGGGAAAACAAAATCCAAAACTATATAGCCCAGTGTGAACAAGTGTTTGCCCCCTAAACCTAAGAACTGGTTGGGCCACCCTTAGCAGCAACAACTGCAATCAAGCATTTTCGATAACTTGCCATGAGTCTTTTACAGCGCTGTGGAGGAATTTTGGCCCACTCATCTTGGCAGAATGGTTGTAAGTCAGCCACATTGGAGGGTTTTCGGGCATGAACCGCCTTTTTAAGGTCATGCCACAGCATCTCAATTGGATTCAGGTCAGGACTTTGACTAGGCCACTCCAAAGTCTTCATTTTGTTTTTCTTCAGCCATTCAGAAGTGGACTTGCTGGTGTGCTTTGGATCATTGTCCTGCTGCAGAACCCAAGTTCGCTTCAGCTTGAGGCCACAAACAGATGGCCGGACATTCTCCTTCAGGATATTTTGGTACACAGCAGAATTCAGGGTTCCATTTATCACAGCAACCATAAGAAAGAGACTGGGCAAAAATGGTTTGCATGGCAGAGTTCCAAGACGAAAACCACTGCTGAGCAAAAAGAACATAAAGGCTCGTCTCAGTTTTGCCAGAAAACATCTTGATGATCCCCAAGACTTTTGGGATAATACTCTGTGGACAGACGAGACAAAAGTTGAACTTTTTGGAAGGTGTGTGTCCCATTATGTGTGGTGTAAAAGTAACACCGCATTTCAGAAAAAGAACATCATACCAACAGTAAAATATGGTGGTGGTAGTGTGATGGTCTGGGGCTGTTTTGCTGCTTCAGGCCCTGGAAGACTTGCTGTGATAAATGGAACCCTGAATTCTGCTGTGTACCAAAATATCCTGAAGGAGAATGTCCGGCCATTCGTTTGTGACCTCAAGCTGAAGCGAACTTGGGTTCTGCAGCAGGACAATGATGCAAAGCACACCAGCAAGTCCACTTCTGAATGGCTGAAGAAAAACAAAATGAAGACTGGAGTGGCCTAGTCAACGTCATGACCTGAATCCAATTGAGATGCTGTGGCATGACCTTAAAAAGGCAGTTCATGCCCGAAAACGCTCCAATGTGGCTGACTTACAACCATTCTGCCAAGATGAGTGGGCCAAAATTCCTCCACAGCGCTGTAAAAGACTCATGGCAAGTTATCGAAAATGCTTGATTGCAGTTGTTGCTGCTAAGGGTGGCCCAACCAGTTATTAGGTTTAGGGGGCAAACACTTTTTCACACAGGGCTATATAGTTTTGGATTTTGTTTTCCCTTAATAATAAAAACCTTCATTTAAAAACTGCATGATGTGTTTACTTGTGTTATCTTTGACTAATATATAAATTTGTTTGACGATCTGAAACATTACAGTGTGACAAACATGCAAAAAGATAAGAAATCAGTAAGGGGGCAAACACTTTTTCACACCACTGTAGAAACCGTTATTTGAGCCCCTGGTTTTATTTGAGTATTTTCTATGAAGAGCGAGAGGATCTTACCACCACTTCCTGGCCTCCATCTACAGGAACGTAGATCACTTTGTAGCCCTGAACGTTGCCATCAGCAGGATTCCAGGTGACAGTGAGAGTAGTGATGGTCGGGTTGGTCACCTTCATGGTGCCCACTCCACCCAAAGGCACTGGGAGCAGGAAAATAATTGGTATTAAACCAGTGAATTCAAATGGTCTTTCACTTTGTCATCATCCAAAAATATTTTACATTCATTTATAAACATATGCGGCTGGTGCACTAAACTGTGTGAGAATGTGTCGCCTTCAAATACTTGTAAAACCAAGTTCCAGCTCCACAGTGACTTACACGTCTTTCCGTTCTCCGACTGCCGTTTTCCCTCCCTGGTAGGGTACACTGGTAACACCGACACCGTGTACAGTGTGTCGGGCGTCAGGTTCCTGAGGACGATGGAGGTGGTGCCTGTAGGAACTTGCTCCTGTTAAAAATTAAAAATTGTTAATTTACCTGGTTAGTCTCATAAGTGGCCGCCCCTCAACCAGCCAACTAAGCTGCAGTCTCGAGAGGTAGGACAGCTGTAAACGACCCTCACCATGTCCTCGCGACCACCAGCGGTGGGCACGAAGAAGACCTTGTAGAGGCGAACAGCACCGTCAGCTGGGTCCCAGTTCACATTCAGAGAGGTCATGGTGGGGTCAGTCACCCTCAGGCCCCTCACTCCTCCCAGTGGTCCTGCACAAGACAAGAAGTTGTATATACACTGAAGTCTTTTGCTTTGCTTGTGCAAAGCAATGCAGCTCAGGGGGCGATGGCTGTGCAAACCTTCTTTAGACACGCTGTCAGACAGATGAACATCACATGTGATGACACAAAATTCTTATGGTGTCACTAGACTTCTAGAGTTAATTAAGGTGCCGAGGCTATTAGCTGAGCAACATTAATATGTAATTCATTGGTACTTGATAAGCTTGATTCTAAAACATACATTTTATAAATGGACAAAAATGTTGACTTTCTGTTACACACATTTCATAAATGCCTTGTTTTGGCCTAGAACATTTGCGACCTCCCCATCTAAAAAGAGGACTGATTTGTATTTTAGCATTCACTTTTACTGAAGCAAATGATGCCACAGCTTATTTTCAACTAATCCAGGAGAATTTCAGCATCAGAAAGCACAATAACCTCTACATGAGTTGGGTATTTTAGTGGTCTTACTTGTCTTTCCATTTTCAGACATTTTCCTTCCGTCTCCTTCAGCGTAGACCGGCACCAGGGAGACGGTGTAAAGGGTGTCAGGCTGCAGGCCTCGCAGCGTGGTGGTGGTAGTACCCGGTGACACCGTTTCCTGAGATCAACAGCAAGTTTCACAAATTAGCTGCTTAGAAAACCAGTTGACACGCAGAAAACAAGCACAACCTCCGAACGCTACAGTCCAGTTATAAGAGTATCAGCCTGGGTGTAGTGGACCAAGCTGGAAACAACATTTAAGGTGGAGGACTGAGGTCTGAGAAGCTGGGGACTTTGAAACACACACAGCAGAATGTTGTTCAACTGTGCACAGTGCCAGCAGACAAGCAGATGGTTGTCCTACCAGTCCTACCATGCTCTCAGGTCCTCCAGCAGCAGGAGCATAGCTGACTTTGTACTCCTTCACTCGGCCCTCGGCAGGCTCCCAGCGCACATTCAGGGTGGTCATGGTCGGGTTCAACACCTGGAGGTTCCTTACTCCACCCAGAGGCTCTGAGGAAATACCAAGACAGGTGTTACAGGGACAAACTACATGTCCTCCAGATCTCCACCATCTGGTACTTCACCGGAGGATTTCCACTGTGAGAGATTTTCTAATTTTGCTGCTCATTAAGCTGTTGCGTTGCTCTGCACATAAGGACATTCAACATGAGATAAAACAGTAAAATATCACTAATTTTAGTTCCCTCCATTTTTCCGTCTTCCTTACTTTACTTGCTTTATTCTCTTTTCTGTTTTCTCCCTTTATACAGTTTGTTTCCCTGTTCTGTGGATTTTACTTCTCTCCATCCTTTGCTCCTATTTTTTCCTTCCACCTGTTTCTTTTCCTCATTTTTATATCCTTCTCCTTTGTCTTGTCTTCTGTTTTCCTTCTTCCCAGATACATTTTTTCCTTTTCTTCATCTTTCTCTCCTTCTGATATCAAAACTGCAGATGTGAGCTCTTCATGACAAACTCAACCATTCTTTACCATGACTTTTCTGTTTACTGAACTCTATTTTCTACCAACTCTAACTACTACATATACTACAATACTAATTCATCCTGTTTTCTAAACTTAGGTTAATGTTTTATTTTGAAACTAGTACTTTTCCACTGAGGTTTCCTACTTTTATGTGAATCTGACTACTTCGCAGCTGCCACTCAGAAATGGAGGTAAAGAACATTCATCATTTTGAAACCCTGTAAAGTTGCTGAACTGAGTGCGACAACAAGGAGTTTATTTGCTGAATGTTTTGACATGCTAATCACATCAGACTCTTACTGGTTTTTCCTTCTCCGGAGATGTCTTTCCTGACACCGTTGGGATACACCGCCACCACAGTGACGGAGTACTGAGTGTTGGGCTCGAGCTTCTGCAGGATGGTGTTGGTCTTCCTCCCTCCAACCTGCGTCTGTTCACAGGAAACAGAAGCATTTTCATTTCAGAGCAACACAACAGTTTGTCACATCTGTGGCTGACACACCAGTGAATAACAGTGTGAACATGCGGTGCGTGGTCTGTGTTGATATCCTCAAATGTGGGTTGCTCAGTTTGAACAACAGCATTTAAAATTACAAGATCAAAAAAAAAAAAGCAAAATCAAAAACAGAATTATTATTTTTCTTAGTTGGAAAAGTTAATGTTTTCTCCCTGTTATTCATTAAATTTAACGCCTTCTTTTCTTATAAAGCTAAAATGAAGTAAACACATACACCAGCTGTTTTTCTGCTGGATTTCTGACAAACCAGCTGCTCAACAAATGGCTGCTCATTTTAAACTGTTATAACCAACGACCACAGGCGGCGCCAAATCACCCAGGACTGAAATACGTCCAAGTGTGTTATAACTTACACCTGCTCTCATTGCTCTGCCTCCCAGAAACTAAAGTGAAACTCTACAGTGTGCAATAATTCACCGCAGGTCATGTTTTAGAAACTGTTCTGCTGCTTCTGAGGACAATCACAGCAAACTATTGAACTATTTATACATGTTTAAGTTAATTACTTCACTGCAAGAGAGCCCAGATAGACCTTTGGGAAATCCTGAGCAAGCAACTCTGCAGTACATCACACAATGAATGCGACACTGTAAACACATTTATAGAGGGAATAAACAGTTTGCCTGGCAGCTCAGAGACAAATGACAGAGGACATTCCATCACATTTACATCAGTATCATGGAATTTTTATTCTGTGAAACATGCAAAGCGTCTGCTTGTTGTTCAGCTGTGGCTCCTCCGGGCTCTGAACCTGTGACATTTTGCTTAGACGATGATCTTTTATCATGAGGTAACGGTAAGCATTGTGTTTACTCAGCTGTACTCACTACCAACTACTTTTAATTTTATATTTTATTTTGTTTTTTGTACAGCAGGAAACAAAAAATGTGGGTGAAAACCAGTTCAAACAGTTCTGATGACTGTTCAAACATCTAAGCATTTTTCAAACTAAAATCTCTTTCTACTTCCTGTACAGGGTCTTATAACTTATCTTTTATAAATAACTAATTAAATATACTTAAAAAAAACCAACACTGTCTCTCTCAGTACTTCCTAACCTCGCTGCTCGTTCTGTGGTTCTTGGCTCCAGATGTAAATCTTTAAAAACAATGGTACCGTTTCATTTTTATAAAAAGGTTCAGTCATTTCCTAAACCAGCTGCTCACTGTAGATTCCTCATGTTTTCATTTCTGTGGGTTTAATTCATTCCACTGAGTTTCCTCAGTCTATAGCTATTATTCTTCTTAACTATATTATTTAAGTACATAGAGAAAATATAACATGGTCCCAGTCTTTTTTCACAAAGTTCCCAAACTGGACATTTACTGTTCTGTAAATTCAGTTCTACATTTTTCAGAGTGACGAGGAAATGCTGAGCTCATCCTGCACAATCCAACGTCCTGTCAGGTATTATGTGAATGATGTCAGAAACAACAACACCAGATGCTCTGAGTCTTCTGGTAGACACATTTGATGTAGCGAAGGGATCTGAGGCCCATTAGTGGCTTAGATTTGTACCGCTGACATCATGGTTCGACTGACATGTTTTGGGAAACCTGTCGAACCATCTCAGAGACACACAATTTGTCACTAGCTGAAATTCCTTTCAAACACT